CAAAACCTTGCCATGCAGACCCATTACAGTGTTTTGTTTCTGTAAGGTTTCATTCCTTATGTTCAAAGATGCCGTGTCATTCTACTAGTCAGTTTGGTATGTCCACCTCATGTTTCTTAACTGCTCCAGGGAGAACGTTGTTACAAAGGGTACGGTGATCGCAGGTGAACCCAGCAGAAAGCACCTTGGAGTCTGTGTTGTAAAATCGTGCTTTCAACTGTCTGCATACAGACTCAGTTGGGTAGAATTACATCAAGACAATGTGCTGTTGGGGTGCAAAAGCACGTCGTGTAATTAGTGTACAACAAGCTGATGAGTGATTGATGACAACTATGAGTTTTTCTGTTTTTCAGAACACTTACCGCTGTGCCAGACTAGCAGTAGGAGCGACTTTGCAGCTGGTGGATGCTGTAATGTCAGGAAAAGTGTGCAATGGAATGGCACTAGTAAGGTAAGAAAATGTGTGAGAAAGTTTTCACTTCTTACCAAAATTTCTTTTGTTGTAAGTAACGGTGTAAAACTTTGGTTTAGACCTCCAGGTCACCACAGCCAGCGAAGTGCAGCTAATGGGTTCTGTTTGTTCAACAATGTTGCTATTGCAGCAGAACATGCAAAACTGAAATACAGTCTGCAGAGGTAAGTGCATGGTTGACTCTAGAGAAGCTTTTCCTGCCCAAGTATGGCATTTACATAACAGTTTGACGTGGTCCTGTTTTAGATTAATGTCTATAGCTTTCTGGGTGTCATGTACCTTTTGGGTCAGAAAAACATTATTCATCTGGGCATCCTTTAGATCAAGATGCTGTAGTTCTTCTGCTGAGTGTTTTCTTTTACTGATCTATGCAGAATCCTAATTGTTGACTGGGATGTGCACCACGGGCAAGGAACTCAATATATATTTGAAGAGGATCCAAGGTTTGAAGAAATTTTTTTACTTTTTTTTTTAATGTTAGCTGGTTAAAGATTGCTTGCTTCTGTAGAGAATAAGATCTTTTAAATTTCTAAAACTAGAATCTTAGAACACATTCTCCTTGCTACTTTAGTCACTCTGTGACTTGCTATAAAATAGAGGGGAAAAAAATCTAACAAAAAATAAATATGTAAATCTGTTCTACTTTAAAGAATAACAAACACAAAATTAACAATACCTTGGTTTGCCAGTAGTAAGATCTCTTCATGCCAGTATTCAGGTAATACATCTATTCTCTGTATTCACAAATCTCTCCATTAAAGTATTCAAGTAGTAGTTGGATAAAATACATGAGCTTTATATTGTTCTCGGAAAAGCCACAGAAGCAGCTTCTAGAAACAAGCCTGCTCTTCTGAAAACGCCCTGTCTTGGATCTGGATGGAGTGCACGCATGCAAGAAATTCTTAGCAGGTTCATTTTTAGGTACTTTTGGCATTGGAACTACTGTACCAAGTTTCACAGTCCCAAGTCCATTAAGAGAACTAAGGAAAAAGGGCAGTTCTATTTTCTTCCTTTCAGTCAATACAATCACCAGGTTCAGGATATAAAGTCAGTTCTGGAATCTTTTCATCAAGTTGGATTTGTTCTTTGTATCTTTCAGTGTTGTATATTTTTCCTGGCATCGCTATGAACATCAGGAATTCTGGCCGTCACTCAAAGAGTCTGATTATGATGCTGTAGGTCTGGGAAAAGGAAAAGGTTTTAACATAAATTTGCCTTGGAATAAGGTAAATGTTGTTTACAGCACAACAAAGCAAGTGCAGTAGCTTTGTGTCTCATGCTTTACGTAACACTTTCTGAGAAGTGCACTGCTTCACTTGCTTGACAGATGTCTTAGCACAGTGTACATCCTTCCTGTCAGTGGAATGTCTGCTGAAAAATATGGTTCAGAATGTGATAACGTTTGAAAAAAAGAGGGAGAGAAAAACACACGCGTACTCGTTTTTTCTTGAATATCTTGTCTCGCCATCAAATCAGACAGTGTCTCAGGAGATGATTACATCCATCCTTGTTCAGCAGAGAACTGAAGCTCATATTTAAGAGGTGGATATTTATGCACGTTATTTAAATGGAGTTGGTTTTACTCGACCTCATAAGGTTCCCCTATCTCTTTAACTTTTGATAATATTTTTTCCTTGAAGTTTTGAAGAACCTTAGAAAATTGGTTATTCCAACAGGAAAATACAACCTATATTTCTCATATTTCGCAGGTTGGGATGGGAAATTCAGATTATCTTGCTGCGTTTTTCCATGTGTTGCTTCCAATGGCTTTTGAGGTAATTTTTTTACTGCTCTGTTGTTTGAATAGCAAACCAAAGGCTACTTCCTGAGTACTTCTTGAGCAGGTATCACTGAATATTGTGTAGAAACGCAGTAATGGCCAGTAGCACAGTTAACTTTTTATTCAGGGAGAGTCTTTATTTGTGCTCATATTCTAGCTGAAATAACAGCTGAACATGGTACAGTTGAAATTCAGTACAAAATTGAAAATAGGACATGAGAATGTGCTGAAACTCTCTCTGTTTTATAACAGTTTGATCCTGAACTGGTTATTGTCTCCTCTGGATATGATTCTGCAATTGGAGACCCTGAAGTAAGTAGTTTGTGGCCTTTGTGTTGTCAGTCATGAATCTGTTTGCAAAATATTCTTACCTCTTAAATGTCCTGTGATTGCTAGATGAAGTTCGCTTTGACCAAGCTAAAAATACATGTTTGAGTCTTTAAGCTAACCCCAGCTCATTAAATGCTACAAGAAGACACATAAAGACAGATTATCCTGTAGGCGTAATTACTGTGTTGGTTTTTGCACCTTCCTTTAAAGCAGCTGGTTCAGCATTTCATTAGATACAGTGAGAGGCAAGTGTTCCAGTATTCCAACTCGGACTCATGTATTCAGATTGTATGGGGTTTTTTAATCAATATTTTTGATTCAGGGTTTCATCTCTTAAAATTTTTTCTTTGATTTAGGGTCAGATGAACGCCACTCCTGAGGTTTTTGCCCACCTTACCCATTTCCTGATGCAGCTAGCTAATGGAAAGCTGTGTGTCATCCTAGAGGTAAAGGCTCTGGAAATATACTCCCAAGGGAAGGGTCTTGATGTTAGAGCCACATAGGGCAAGCTAGAAGCTAGGAAGTGAAACTTCGTAACAAAATAATTTATTCTTTTTATCTTTCTTTTGAGAATCAGGAATGCAAAAATGGCTAAGATTTGACAGTACTCTTATATGTTAGAAGAAAAGCATTTCTTAAAACCTGATTTTTTTAACTTAAAATTTTGACATATATGCTCAGTGTTCAAAAAACAATATGCTCCATGGATCTGTTCAGTTCTTGTGAACAGTGTTTAGTCTGCTGCTCTGGACAGTCCCAAACTCATTAAAAAGTATTTAATGAATAAGCTGCATTACCAATGTTTTTACAAGTATGTCTTACTTCAGGAGAGTTTAAAAAAGCCTGTGGCCTAAATATACTCTCAGTAATGGAGCCCTTACTAAATTCCCTCTTTTTTGATTAAAAGCCTCTATGCAAGCTCTTTTTCTAAGAGATGATTTTTTTTTTAAACAATTAAAAATGTTTCCTCCTTTTGAAATCTAGATTTCAACTCCCTGTTTCTGCTGTGTGTTAGAAAAATGGTGGTTTTTCAGGTAAATAAGTGTGTGGAAATATTACTGCCAACAAGGTCTCTAGGAGAGAACTGTTTATTAATTGGTTCACTTGACTCTGTTTTGCATGACCTTTCTTCCATCATCCTTTTCTCCAGCAGGTTCTTACAGATATTTCTGTCTACTAGCTGAAGTGCAAATAAGCATCCCCTCCCAATACAGACGATGGGACTGCTCCACAAGTGGTGTGCAGGAAGCAATCTATCATCTGCAACCTAGCAGTCTTAAATCTGTCTTCAGTTGTTCTCCAAATTCTGCCAAACCGTTAGGGTAACCGTATCTTAAAAGTGTCAGGCTATGGGAGATTTCCCTTGTAGACATTTTAGAGGACAGTGATAGTATTTGCCTTCTAAGGAATCTTCCACAAGAATTGTTGAAGATGGCATATCATGAATAGGAATGGAGAAGGCGTATGTTTCCAGGGTTTTCATGGCAAAGTCACAACTGATTTCCAAAATGAATTGAACCGTGATAAAGCTGAGTTGAATCATGGGATGCCAGTGAAGTTGAGCAAGTAGTCTCTAACTTACTGGTTTCATATTGAAAATCATTGACTTAGATGTACTTGTGTATCATCTTCCGTTTCTGTAAATTCAGATGCATTTCAAAAGTTTAATGTATTTCCCATGATGATATTCAGATAGATGATAGATACTCCTTAGGTGACACAAAATACATTTTTCTAGGGTGGGTACCACTTAAAGTCGTTGTCTGAATCAGTCTGCATGACTGTAAAAACTTTGCTCGGAGATCCTGTACCTCAAATGACTGGAGAAATGGCACCTTGCCTAAGGTAAGCATATGAAGAATCTTAGAGCAACCCATGTATTTATCAAAGAGACTGAAGACATGCATGCTTTGAACATTTTGCTGAAGCAAGATTTTAATACGATGCTTTATAATATTTAATATTCTGCTTTGGATAACTTGCTTTCCAAAAAAGTCATCCAAGGCACACGTTTGTATACTTTTGTTTCTGAAATTATTTCAAGTTGCGAGAACTTAATGGCTTATAATTTCACGCTATTTATCCTTGGGCCTTGTTATCCTGTAGAGATCCATCTCACTCAAGGCTGAGACAATCCTGCTGTAATCAAGGCAATGCCAGTTAATAAGAGCCAGTATTTGGGAAAGGATGTAATTGTGAGGATTAGGTCTTCAGGACCGCTTCAGTTGCTGAAGTACAGCAATAGCTGGAGCTGACCTCTCTCTCATCAGTGAGAGCTGATGCTGTGCAGAGCCAGTCTTGATGACTCCTTGTGTTTCTGGAATTTGGAGCATCGAGGCCTGGGGTGCGAAAGCACTCGATTGTGTGCAGCTGTACCAAGATAATTAAACTTCAGGCCTGACTTCTTTTTGGAGACAGTAAGATTGTGTTTGCACGGTGAATCTGACTTAGTAAAGCATTCTGAACCTTGGGCTTGAATCAGTCCCGTATCTAAACACTGTCTTTCTCTCTACCTGTCTATACTACCTCCTTCACATCTCCGTGTTCTGTCCTCAGTCTCTCTTCCACCTCAATGGTTGTCCCGTGCTTTTTTTCAGCAGTACTGCTCCTCATGCATTTTGGTGGCAGCATCTACCAGTCGGCTGTGTTAGTTAAAACTCAGAGCTCAGCTCAGTCAGGTAAGCAGTGTAGATATACACAGGCTGGGGAAGAGTTGGGTTTGGTAAACTCTGATGGAGCAAAGCTGGTTATTTTGCTCCCACCACATCCCATAGCCCTTGTATCACCTCTTCTTTACCAACTGTAGTATTGCTATCATCCTAGCTAATAGGGAGTTGATTACATATTTATCAGTTTGAACAGTCCAGCTCCTGAACACCTTACAAATAATCTCCAAATACACAGAATTTGTCCTGGATTTAACATGACCTGAATTATGTTTGCATGATAGCTAACGTGATAGGACGATTTGCCTATAGTGGTGCAAATACCAGTGATAATAAAAAAAAGCGATTTCAACACAAAGAATAGCAGGGAATGTGCTTTACTTGGTTCCTGAATAGACAGTCTTGCTTTTGAGTGAATCTGATTACGTCTTTACATTTTGTAGATAAAATCTCTGACAGAGGAAAGACAGACAGGTGAAATCTTGCCTTTCCTCAAGTCAGGGACAGGTGTGCTTCCTCCAACAGCAGGGCTGGGATTTCACTCAATGTGTGTAAACCTGTGTACATACTGCATGTGTTCTTCACTTTTCTTCTTTGACTCTTGAATCTAATCTTTCCAAGCAGTCTGTCCCTTGGCTGTCATTTTCTTTATCCTTCTGTTCTGCGTTCCTGGAAGAGACCAGTTTTGGTTTTGCTTTTTCATTGAGGTAGATTATGTTTCCAGTATTTCCCTTAGTGCTGATAACTGTTAATCCTCTTTCTTTTTTAGTGCTGTTGAATCTATTCAAAATGTGAGAGCAGCACATAAACCCTACTGGAAATGGTTGCTGTATGAAGGTAATTGCTCTTTCTTCAAGCAGATATGATTGGTAAATGGATTCATACAGAAATTCAAAATTATTAAGATTAATAACCATGGATTAAAGTAATTGAAGTACCAGTTATTCATCAAGTGACTGATGAAGCGGTGTGAGGCCTCATTCAAGGCCATGTCTTCAGCTGGTCTGAAGAGAATCATAGAAGCCACCGAACATCATGCCAAAAAGTAGTGCTTTGATATCATTTTTTGAGGATGCTGTTTTCTAAAAATATGAGCATGAGATTTATTATCACTTATGACATTTCACTAGATTAAAACAAATGTAGCAGCACTGAAAAATAAGATCTGTGGCAGGAAACATCGTAGCTAGTACGTGGAAATAAATATGCATACTATGAATACAGATGTACTCTGTTTTGTAAATAAACGTAACCAAATATTAACACACTGCTCAGGAATTAATACATGTGAAACCCCTCTTTTTTTTTTCTCTCTAGACACATCATTTTTACAAAATTTGAGCACCAAATCACACCTACTAAAGAAGGCTAATCCAAATCCCTCCGCAGAACATGAATCTAAGATAACTAACAACAATGAAACTGTCGAAGTAGAAAGGTTTTTGGAACTGCACATGAAAAATATTCTATTTCCAGTGCCTCCCATCAAAACAGCAACAACTGACTGTAAAGGTTCAGCACGTTTGCTCCCTGCACCTGTTCATTTGGTCAAGGAAATGGACAACACTGAAATAAAAGCTCTTGTCAGGTTGGGCCTATCTATTTAATTTTCAACATAATTATGAGGATGAGAGGTCTCTGTGCAGGCTGTCATCTAGCTCTGTCTCTGCCATGGTCATCTTCTTGGCCGTAGTTTACTCAATTACAGCCAGAGTTTCTTCCTTTGAAAAACGAAGACATTGGCATTGGTTATCGCTCATAGCCTTGAAGTCCTTGAAAGAACTAATCAGAATACTTTGAGAAAACTGTTTCAACAGAGATAGAACAGTTAGTGAAAATGTATTCATTTAAAAAGATATTTTGCTAGGAAGGTGCCCTAAAGCTCTGTGTTCACTTTTAGCTAAAAAAAAAATACCTAACTGGTCTGATTTCAGTAGTTCAATTTTTTGTCTTAGTCTAATTTTGACAGAACTGTATTTCCTGAGGATCATCAGACACATTTGTTTTCTTTCTAGTGAGAGCTCAAGACTGTATCCGTGTCCTTTTTGAAAGCCTTATCACCTCTAACCTAGTTTTTCTGCATACAATTTGTTTTACAGTGGCTTGTACACAGACCTTGTGAAAGAGGACAAAACTTTGCTCTCTCTTGGCAGTACGTTGGCCATCCTAGATAAAATACTTAAGAAGGAGGTAATAATAAACTGCTTTGATCTTGGGGGGTTGGGGGAGAGTTGGATTCCTCTGATTTTCCCTTCTGCTTTATTGTCATCTAGATATTAGTTACTGTGTAGTTAACGACCCCACTGATTTCAGCTAGAATGCGCTTAGCTATGGGAGTGCACATGCAAGATGAGAAAGCAACTGTTTAAGGATAGTTGTTAACCCCAAGACATCTCTCTAATGATCTTTGAGCAAGATGTTTTACAGCTTTCCTGCAGTCACAGCATATGAGTCAGTAAGAACCTTTTAATCACTCTGACGTACGGGTGAGCCAGGCATTCTCCCCTCTGGTCAAGGGGAGCAGAAGTTGGTGGTGTATCGAGCACCAGTATGCAGCAGCATGAAATCTGAATGAGAAATGTCAAAATCTTTCCTGTCTCAGTGCACAGAGTTTTGCCTTCTGTCTTTAGGAGATGGTTTACTTTTGCATTGCCCTTCCTTACAAGACGCCACGCTGTGTGCAGCTGCACCCACTTACCATTATTTGTATAACAGTTTACTCAGAGTAAATTTTGATGTACACGTGGCCCCCGCTGCCCACACACACCCTTTAGTGGAGCTGTTGAAAACACCGCGGTGTGCTGTGATTCTGAACAGAGTAATTCCACTTCAGCATTTTGATTCTTGCAGGGTCAGGAACGAAGAGAAGGCTGGCTTACAGGGTGTATGTTTGTATTCCTGCATAAAAACTTGGAGAAGCAAAGAGAAAAAACTGCAAATAAGCTAAGAATACTACATCATCATAAGTCAGTCTCTCCCTTTGAATGAAAAGCTCCCTTTAAAGTACCGGGCCTGCGAGGAAGAGTAAATTGCCAGAATGGCCTCTTGCTTGTAAGCCATCGTCTTGCTGTTGGAAGTCACGTATGTAGATTTCAGGGACAGATTGCTGACACTATAGACTGCACATACCCTTAGGAGAGCCTATAAATAGATTAAAAAAAAATAGTAACTGGCAAAAAGAACTAGAACTTGTCATGAGTTGCAGATGCAAAGCTGAGCTTTTTATGTTGACAAATACAAAGAGGAGTGAGGAAGGGGAGCAGGCGTTACCTTTTCTGCTTAGCTTTCATGTAGAGTTCAAAGCAGTACACAACACAAGTGAACACCAAAGGGCTGCCTGAGTAACATCGTCGCTGTATTTTTCAGGAAGGAATAGCTTGCCTAGGTTAAAGGAAGAGTCAGAATTAGAATTCAGGGACAACCTCCTTTTCATGGGATGTATTTTTCTGGTGCAGTTTGCCTACCGGCACACTGAGCGTATCCAATCTGTAGACTATCTAGAGAACCAGTAAAGATGACCTTCCCCTGCAAAAGCTATTTTTACAGTTGTCTTTCAGCATAGCACTGTACTTTTGAAGTAATAGAACAACTCTTGGCATAATAATCAAATATGGGTTTTCTGTGGAAAGTGAATTAATAACATTTTCTTAACCCTACTACGATAGATCATTAAAATCTCTTGTACAGCTGTAGCTGTGCTTGAATGATACATATAAACAAGTAAAAATACAGTTGTTACAAATAAAAAATGACATGAACTTGTGCAGCACTAATTACTTCTGAATGAAAAATATATTTTGCAGGTATGCAATGGAATTGCAGACTCACCCACATCTTCGGTTTCTGTTGCTGTTGCACTAAGACATGCTGTTCGTTTTGGATTTCAGAGGTGAATGTCGGCCTTTTGCATTTGGGGCCCTTTGACAAAATGTAAAAATAAGATACTAACTGTGTGAAATATGGCAAATTGCCTTCGAAACCTTAATTTTAAAACACATGGCCTCGCCACATGCATAGCATTTTCAATATGTAGTGCTGAAAATACTATATATGCCAGCAAAAACCTTTTGCCTTACCAAAGGCAAAACACTTGTAAGGGTGGCTGCTATGTTAGCCTACATTTTCTTTGTGAGAATTTGGGTGTCTGTAGCCTGAGGACATTTTCTTGGTTTTGTTTTTTCTCCCCAGTATTTGATGGGAGAAAAGGAGTTCCCTTGAGGCGTTTTCTTTGTACTTTTAAAGGACCAAATTCAGAAACAATATACATTCTTTTTTATGCATCTAAGCAACATGCAAACTTTTTAAACAAATTGCACCAATTAAAAGAAATTACTTGTAGATGTAAATGTGTGCATGTTTTCCTTTGTGTTCTGCAGGGTGCTTTGTATATTTGTTGGAGACATGCAAGTCATACCAAGCGCAGAAGATGGGTGAGGTTTCTCTTCACTCCAGGGAGTCACATCTCAAAGGCTTTATAAATGTTCATAAGCGTCCCTATGTATGATGAAATCTGCACTAAGCAGTCAGTCATGAGCTGGTGTTCATTAAGTTTAGCTTGAGACAAAACCCCAAAACCTCCCCAAATATGTCTCTAAAGAAAAACGGCTATCTCTAAATGCCACTTTGAGTTTAGTGGTAGGTTTAGAGTCTAATCCTTCTATATTAATTGAAATGTAGATTGTTACTGAGAATAGAATATTGAAAATAGAAAATAATAAAGAAGGCAATTACTAATTATATAGGGTTTACTCCCCTGTAACTGCAGGGGGCACACACTGCTGATGCTGAGGTCGTTATTGAAAGTCATCTTTACTTATTTATAACTTTTTTTGCCACTTCCCCTTTTTCTTAAAAGTAATATGCAATAGTCTTTAACACTCTTTTTAAAAATAGCTTTAAAAGGATTTCAGTTCTAGTTGGTGTTTACATTATGGCATGTAGTAATACAAGTAGTTATTTGGTCCTGTGTTATGAATTAGTATTTAAAGAATGATGAAAGAAAAGGTCTTTTTATCTCAGTGGAAGTTGTTGGTTAAATACTCAGATGTGTTTTTTATTAACAGAAAAACACTCATGATACATATTTGTGAGAAAGAAGAGTCTGGAAAGACCAACTCCAAACACTATATTTCTCTCAACTGGAAAGAGGTGAGATTCACTTTCTGTAAAGAACATAAAAGAAAAACGTTTTTAACAGAAATAATACAATATATTTACAAATTCGTAAAATGACACTGAGAATTACACCCCTCACTGCAGGCTGGACCTTTGAAAATACTTCCTTTTCTTGCCCTTGCCAGGGTACTACTGCTTCACGGATCTTTAGGGTATATTAGAGTGCACAGGTTTGAGGAGACCTTGAGTAGCTGCTGTAGTTCATCTTCAAGAAGGCAGAGTTACAGTGAGAAGACACAAAGGAGAACATGAATAATCTGCATGTTTAATATAAAAATTACTGTGAAAATAGATCAATATCCTGTTTCCTACATCAGTCAAAAGCTTTTTGAGATTCATCTCACTGTTTTGTTTTATATCTGGAAATTTCAGGCTTTACATTTGTGCTAAACAGTTTCTCGTTGTTGTTAAAGGATGCTGAAGGAAATGACTTCTTTTCTGCTGTACTTGGATTCATTCTTCCTGTAGCATACAGTTATCAGCCGAACTTGACAGTGGTAGCTGTTGGACCAAACAGGAGCCTTGGAATAAGCGGGATTTCTCTGCTTTTTGCTTTACTACAAGGATTAGCTGAGTCCCGGATTTTTGCAGTGATCGAGGTAAGAAGTGGCGCTAAGCCGTGGTACTTCCGAGTGCCTGGGACAGGACCGGAATGGAGCAGCAGCAGCACGCTTGGGATGGGCTGCTTCAGGCTGCCCGGCACAAAGCACCGGCTGTGTCTGTACGGCCTGTGGTACCCCCGAGCTCATGACGCAAATAGCCCAGGTTTCCTTCTGCCTGAGAACGAGAGCAGACACGGATGCGTGCTGCTGTAGGCAGCCTGCGTGGCTGAGCTGCTGAGGCGTGAATGCAGGCCCAAGGCTATGCCTGTAGACAGTAGATGTTTTGGGAATTTGCCGCAACTTCCCTTTCCACGTGGGACTCACAACTCAAGAGTTGTCTCCTGAAGAGAGACACTTGTTGTCTGTTAATTACATGGCCTTATTCCATCAAATACGATTGAAAGCAGCCTGCTGTCCTGTTTGTCATAAAACACTACATTTCCTCTCCTTCTCTTGCCCGTGCCGTGCTTTATCACACATGACTTCCATCGTGCAGAAAATAAATCAAAATGGCCCGTGTCCTTTAAGTGAACTCAATTGCCATGATACCTAACAGAGGACCAATCTACCCCAGCTTTGTGTTTCTGATGGAGAGCGTGGGAAAGGAAGTAAAGGATATGTGGATCTTTCCCCAGTCCAGTGTTTCCATGCACTACCACATTAAGGATTTCTAAATTTAGGAAGTCAGAGGCTGTATCCAGAGCAGTGTGTGATAAGTGCCCATGAGCACATCTTCCATGAGTTTGTCTAATCTCTTAAAGAACTCGACCCACACGCTGGGCCTCTGCAGCACCCTGTGGCTGTGAGTTACACCATTTCTCTGTGTGTTCTGTGAAACAGTAACCCTTGATTGCTTTTGTGCCTTCTAGTTCTTCTTTAATGAGAAACAACGAGTATTTGTTTGCGTATGCAATTTTATTCTAATCCATTTCCCGGCAAGTATCCAATTAAAGATGTACTATTCATTAAGCTGCCAATTAAGTGGATTTTGACATACTTTATTCTGTAGCCTTCTCAAATGTTACTTGGCTTAATTTACACTGATGATATGCAAATTGCCTAAGCTAATATAATTTGTACATTGATATACAGTATGCAGAAATAGTGTTATTTGGACATTACTAATTAGGAGTATGAAATGGAAAGAATTATTGATATTCTGAAAGGTAAACTCAGAGATAAAAAGGAAGTTAGACAGACATCTTTAAGAAATGACTGAGGCTTTTATATTGATACTCCACAGGTAGCTCCGTAGCAGGGTTATCTAATATGTGGGGATTTTCCAATGCCTGGGCTTGGCTTTTTAGAATAACTGAAAAAAGACTTCTGTCTTTTAAAAATAAAATAGAGTTACAGTCTTCAAAATAAATGTTAATATTCAAAATAAATGTTAATAATCCTCATATACTATGGATACCTCAGAATATAATTTATGTCAGCAAATTACATTGATTTAGACTGTCAGGAGTCCAAAAAATGTCACTTTCTGATGAAGCAAAATATGTCACTGTTTTCTACAGATAGAGAATAAATGATGCATGACGTAAACAAGCTCCATGCTCACCTTTCCTCCTAACATTCTCTGCCTTTAACCCAGCACTGTTTCTTTTAAATCACAAAAGAAAAACTGAGACTCTTTTTCTCTTTGAAAAAACAAAAACAAAAACAAAAATAACCCAACAAACCCCCAAATTTTACAGGAAATAAAAATTGATTTACCTCTTTCAGAAAGAACTTCTCCATTTTAACACATTTTTATTTGAAAATTGAAAGTTGCTCATTCTTGCTACTAACAGCAACATAATGACAAAAGCTTGTTTTAAAATGTTTCATATATTACTGAAACCAACAAAGTTTGGCTCCAAGGAGTATTTTTTTCTTTTCTTCTTAAATAGGACACAGAGATAAATGTGATGCCAAGTGTAGCCAAAGTATTAGTAGGTGCTTCTACACCTCACTTTGGAGTTTATGTACCTCCTAGCCAAGAAAAAGTAAATAAAATAAAACTATTAAGAGACC